TCTCTGAGTTCTAGTGAGAAGCCGTGACCAGTGGAGCTAGTCCATGTCGGGTAGAGACAGGTATCTACCTCAGTACAATAGAAAATGGTCGCGCAATTTCGTAGATTGGTTGATGTTAGACACTATCACCATTGGATGCCGGCTCAGTGGTCCAGTGAGTTAATCGTTCACGCGCGAGGTCGAAGGCCCTGGGTTCGAATCTCACGGGGTGCGGGATTGTGGGTGCACACTGATGAGGAGTCCCACAATAGGACGGAACGGCCGTCCAGTGCTTCCAGGTTTCTAGCGGTGGTCTAGCATCAACCGGTTTATGATCTCAATCAAAAACTTAATAATTTCCACAACCCCTACACTAGTAACTTATTTTTGCTTCATTATTAATAATTTTTCTTTCGAATCATAGAAACAACAAGAATTTTTAATTACACATAATCCTCATACACGATATACAATGGAAACTTTACGTGTTGGATGGGAACAATTGAAAACTAATATAAAACGCAGTCAAAATGAAATTGAAAATCGTATAACAGCTAATGATTATCGTGGTGTTACAGAACAACAAATTGAAGAATGTCGTAGATGTTTTAATCATTTCGATAAACATAGAACACGTCGATTAGATCCATTAGATTTTAGAGCTTGTCTTGTATCACTTGGCTTTACAATACCGAATAGTTCACAGGTAAGTTAACCACTTTTTTCGTTTACAAAAAAATACATCTAAAACTCGGTATCTCGATTTTAATTATTTTAGTAAAACAATTTTTCAACGTTTCTCGAACTTTGACATTCATTTGTGAAAAATTTAAATAGCAACAATTAAAATCAAATCAACTATGAACTTAGAAAGAATAACGTATTTAAACATCGGAAGAAAGAATAAGTGTAAGAATAACTCTTCCTATTACAGTTTTAGTAATCTATTCCAAATAACAATACAAATATAAATTTCCTTCTATAAATGACTATGGAAGTTGTTCATCACGAACATTAAGCGTATGTCAGGTGATTATAAGTAGTTAACAGGAATCATAGATCCAAGTTCCGGGCTGTTTAGTACTTATCACTAAGATGTACCTGTAATCTTGATGTAGCTGATACTCCCTAGCGAATTCGAACCAGCTAACCCATCTAACCACTTAAAATCTCAAGATATTACACGCGATGTCGAGTCGTACAGGACATAATCTATGTTACAACTTGCTTGATGGACTTCGATTATCTCTAAGTACTAGAAAAAATGACTGAAGTTAAAGCATAAAAGCCTCAGTTGGATGGTTTATTATCACATTCAATCTCTTATAGGAGCACAAGATGTAAGAGTAACCTCTAAAATGATATTCTGATAAAATCACCGGATTTTCCTACTTTAGTCAAATTATGAACTTAAGCACTTAAATGAGCATATACAATTAAACTACTAACTCAATAAAATTCTCTTAAAATTAAATAATTTACTACATGATATTAGTTATTAATAAGTGATCAGTTAGTCGTCCTTTATCGCCTTGTATGATTTTTCTCCTGGTTTATTTCTACCTACTTTGAATGCATAATCACTCATCTATATAAATCTGCTGATTGTTCACTATTGAATATAAACTTTACCATTGGGAAATATGAAAAATACTGCTGCTGTAAGTTTTCTTATAAAATGCCGTCAATGTAATAGTATACGACACTTTCTTCGAATTATGATATGTATCACATATACTGTAAGAAATAATATAGGAAAATACATTTAGATAGTGAAAAAGTTATTTTTAATCACCCTGCCTATACTACTACACATGTGTTGTATCACTTTACCAAACAAATCATAATTTCTTGGTTTTTTCATGCATTTATCTTTTTTTAAACTTATTCAATCATGCACAATGGATATATCTGTTTAAGAAATCAAGCTAAACTGTCTTAGATGTGTTTCTGATATTCAACTTTCTCAATCCCAATGTTATATATTTCTTAGATAAAATGAATAAAAACTTCAGTACTATTATGTCAACAATTTTAAAAAATCTTCTGATGTGTTTAGTAGAAACACAATGAGCATACATTCAAAGCTAAAGCATTTCAGGCTATAGGAGACACCACAGATTGATATCATTCGGGGTACCATCGAAAACCGAAAAGCACTGGACAGCCGTTTCCTCATAGCATGGTACAACTCAACAGTGCACACCTAAAAGCCATTTAGGTACCAAGTCACAGGTATTCATCTTTTATGCCGAACGCTAAACCATTAGTAAGACTCATTGAATTCATTAAATGATATTTTCAAAACTAATTTAATCTGTAACGGTATAAAATTAACCAAAGATTGTTCAGGCCAAGTAGCAGAATGAATCAGAATCAAACGTAGGATTTCTACCACACTCATCATTAGTTAAGTATCCATTTGTGCTTTATTCGCTTCTCTTCACATTTCATTTGTTCTTCTATTAAAACATTACTCTTTATGCCCAGTTTTATTCTTGTTAATTTGTTCTTCTAGTGGCGATTCGATGTGTAATAATTTGAACTGATGCTATTCCTGACCAGATTCTCCATTATTTATTAACTAACTAATATGAATTATTTATCTTATCTATTGATAAGATTCAGGACATTCTGGCACAGTTATTGTTAGTGTATATTATTACATAAAATTTTCTACGTACATCTAGTTGATATTCGTTTCGACTGTCAAAAATGAATGAATCAATATATAAATATTGCGAGTTTGCTTAAAAACACTATCTGAATATATTCTGATCGTTACTTTCTTCCTTTACTAGGCAAATTCCCTCACTTTATTACAGGGAAATAAGTACATTTAATTGCTTTTCTCTTTTTATTATTTAATTGGATATTAAATTGCATTTATATTGTTGATTTATCATAGGGTGAAGCTGATTTCATGCGTATTATGAAAACTGTTGATCCACATTGTACTGGCTATGTGACATTTGATGCGTTCATGCAATTTATGTCACAACAAACAATGGGAGCTGATACAGTTGAACAAATGGTTAATTCATTCAGAACTTTAGCAGGTGATACAGTAAGTTCGCCTTTTTTTCTTTACTATTTCATAATTGTAATATCAACGTAGATAACTTCACTTTCCTAGTAGACAAATATATACGTACCGAATAGTATTTCATATAAAAACTTATCTAAACCGATTATATTGGTTCTAGAAACAAGCGATCATTACTAACTTCGACTAAATTCGTAAATTTGTATGTACATCAGTCACTTGACAGACAAATATCTAGATTATAATTAATTTACTTCTGTGGAAAAACTGAAATATAGCTTTGTGGAACTTATCATATTGCACTCTGAACTAAATCAAAGTTATTGACATTAAATCCTAAGTATTAAAACAATTATTAAACTATTTCACAAATCTCCATTTGAAAAATAAAACACCACTTCATATTTTGAAGGCTGTGAAATTCATCGAATCCGCTGTTAAGCATCACTTATTTAGCCAATAAAGGTTTTATTAAATTTAAAAGATTTGTAGTTGGAAAATATGTATGATTTTAAAAAAGGAGAGGAAATCACAAAGTGCACTGGACTTTCACATATTCAACAATAAACTTTTTATGAGAATACACAGTTGTTTGTCGTCGCTCTTATTGCGTGAGAATATTAACATAAATTAATTAATTCGGAACACTTGTATAGTAGAGTCAAACATTCTCATTCAATGTTGTTGATTACTTATGTTATTTAATTAGCACCTACAATAATTATCTTACAATTTATGTAAGTGATTTGTCATAGTCGCTTTTTATCAGGCTTTTAATAGCCCTTTCCTACAAATACACACACAATATTTCTACAACTTTCTCTTTTTTTTCTCGTTTGTATAAAGCCATACATTACAACAGAACAATTGAAACGTGAATTGGAACCTGAACTAGCTGATTATTGTATTAATCGTATGAAAGCATACAATGGACCAGGTGTCGCAAATGGTGGCGCTTTAGATTATACCTCATTTGCAGCAAGTCTATACGGTGAATCTGAATTGTAAGAAAATTAGTCGGACCATATATTAGCACAGAGAGATATGTCATTTCTATGTTTTTAAAAAAACATTTTATGAGCTGGTAGAGTTTGTATTTTCATCATTCGAATATAGATAGATTTAGTTATATATAAATATAATTATATATTTGCGTAAAACATCAAAGTAGTCTAATTCTAAAACTGAAATGTGTTAGAAATCCCTTTTTTCTTGAAGATGTGAAATAATTTGCATGATTTTGATGGAAATTAACATTCAGTATATGCACTTGATTTTCAGAAATAAAAACCCATATCATTTTATTTGGTATTTTCTTCCATTTGAAAAATATATTGGGTTGTACATGACAATCAGGGTATATTGAACAAATATAAATTAACTAAACCCTAATTCTATTCTGTCTATGCATCTTAGTCAAAATAAAAAAAGATTATAATTTTATATTTCATAGTCAGTAAATGATAGTTTGTTAATAAAAAAACTGGCGAAATTCCTAAGTTTAGTTTTTTTTAAGTGTGAATACACCTTCGACATGTTTAACATGATAAAACTCATGTCTGATTACTTTTTTTAAAATAAAAGATCAACATTTCGATAGTTGGCTTCGTAAATCCGATTTGAATGTGATTTCATTTAGCCAACTATTTGATTTTATCAGTATGAGGTTATGGTGATTATTAAGTTATTCATTAAGGTTATGAATCGATCGATGCTAGACCACCATTGAAAACCTGGAAGCTATTGATTAGGATAAAATGTGTGATTGTCGATTAGCAAATTGAAAATTGTCGAGTTGAAATTATCATTTTAGTTTAAGTTATGTAATACGTATATACACTGTTTTACAACTTTAAAAACTTGACGCTTAATATAAATTAATAACATTAGTATATAAAAAAGATAAGTCTTTTTTCTTCTTATATATATACAAAATAAGAATTATAAAAAAAGAAATTAGAAATTAAGAGAAAATTTATGTAGTCACCAATAAAGGAAATGTCCATAGATTTAAACGATTTTCTCTTGGTAACAATGTTAGTTTGCCTTTTAAAGCTAAAGGAAATTCTTCAACTATTGGATTAGTTTCATTTTCACCGGATGATATTGTACTACTACCAGTAACTAAAACTGATGGTGTCATTAAAACAGCTTCACTATCACTTAAATCTTTCTCATCACAACTACTACTACTAATACTACTCTCACTGTCACTGCTGTCTAATACTGATTGATTAGATGAAATATTTTCATTCAAATGAAGGCGTTGAACTTCTAATGTTGTTTCTATTGTACGTTGCTTTTTACATACATTCTTTAAAGTTGGTTGTTTAATTCTACGTTGACCTGAGGAAGTAGCTATAATAGGAAGGCTAGGATGTACACTGACACCATTTGTACTGTCAGAATGTGCTCGCCAATTTGAAGAAGAGTAGGTATGTCCATTTTCAGAAAATTGATCAATACATTGAGGTAAATCGTATACACAAACAACACCAGTTTGACTGCCAGTAAATAGATAACGACCAATGCTATAAATAAAGGGAAATAAATTGCAGATGGAAGATTTGGAATGCATTTATTCAAACATCATGAATGTAAACAGTTTATAGTATGGTTAAAACGTTAATAATACTTTAATGTACTAAACAGAAAAATATTTTTCCCTATTTTAACATCGATAACGTTTAGTTTTTCTGTAAGCGAGTGAATATTATCAAATACCAATCCATACATGTATTCACGTTGATAGTTACGGAAAAAGCACACCTATTTTGGTAACTGTTACAGCGGAGTGTTATCTCCTTAAAAACAAGTAATTTGACCACCTGAAACTGAAAACGTGAGAAAATTTGCACTCAAATTTGATATTCAGCACTAGTTAAGCGGCTACAGATTTTAGATTGGAATTGGTGTCTTATATACAGTAGTAATTCATTAACAGATAAAAACCGCAAACCTAACTCAATACAATCATCACTTCGTAATGGACTTTCAATGTATAAAATCTTATGTTTTCACTTCAAATATTACACAAATCAAAGTTATGAGCTATCAGAACGATCTAGAATCAAAATAACTAAAAACTAATTTTGTGTCAAAAATATCCAAGTGTCCTAGTAACAGTGTATTATAAGTAATCACTACAGCCTATTTTCGCTCTTTCGAATGAATGGCTTTTAAAGTGACTTTAGTTAAACTTTTGTGAAAAACGTATACTCTTATATTGAAGATAGCTTATTATTCTTTTACCTAAATAACATACAGATAATAAGTAGGCATTAAAAATTAGACTGGTAAAGATAAAGCATTTATCTATTATCATAGAATGATCAAATATTTTAACCAGAATAACAGTTCTGATAACATTTACTCTACCAAAAACAGCAGGAGAACGGAATATGGGGATCTCAACAAAAAAACATAGTAGACTTACGGTTCTACATCAAACTGAAATTTCTGATGATTTTCAATGCGTCGATGAAGTATTGTGATTGGATTTACTAGATTTCTTGCATCCCAAACAAATATCCGCGAATCCATTCGACCACCAACAAAAACATACCATGGTGCACCATTTTTTCCTGCAAATGTTTTTGTCAACGTCACTTGGGTAACTCCAGATTGATGACTAAATAAACGTGTTATCAGATTACCAGGTTCAGAAAATATACATACAGTCCCGTTATAGGAACCTGTAGCGTAGATATTTCGACTAGGGTCATTCAAAACACCAATACATGATATTATACCACCTTGGAGTGGTTTTTCTATTCAGTATTAAAAAAAGTAATAATTTACAATATAATTTAAGCAAAGATTAACATTTAACTAATAATGAAATAAGGTAACAAATATTCAGTAAACGCTTGATTTGTTAGGTATATTTTCTTATTAATACTGATTAAGAGAGTAACATTCAATAGATGAACTACTTACTACTCACCAAACGCTACACATATTATCATCGAAAAAAATAACAATGACAATCTCTATATAAAGGTAATTCATAAGATATCTGTTTAAATACTTTATAAAAAAACGTATTTTGTTTGTTTGAATTTAAACTTACAACGACAAAGTAATATTTATGTTCCTATTCAAATATTGAGATAGTCTGTTGAAAATTAATTATACAGATAGAATATGTTGGAATTTTTAAAAGTGTTTACTTAATTAAGAGAAGCTGACTTTTTCAATGTTCTAAATTACATTTATGAAGTGCTCAATTTTTCAAGAAAAAAAATGTCGATGTTGCATAAATGTTCCTTATGAGCATTACTTTTTACCAGTGCTATTTGAGTCTCAACTAGTTCAGTTTCATGCACTCAGTTACAAATACACAGTAGTTAGAATGATTACAAATATTTAGTGAGAAACTTTTAACAATATATATATTAACTAGTGGTATATTCTGTTAAACAAGGCTAAAATTTATTTATTCCTTACTTCCAAGTTTTGGTCGCCTGACTGACTCTGTTCCTGGACGAGAAACATCAAACACTTGAATGTATCGGTGAAATCCAGCGTATAAACGTTGACCATTCGAAGAAAATGATAAACTGGAAGCGGAAACAACTTCACCCTACGGAGTAAAAAAAATAAACAGTAACAATTTTATTAAACTATGAACGCTTTGATCAAAGTAGCTTCAATCAGCTTATAATCTTAAAATTTTGTAAAATGCTCAAAATGTATGAATAGAGTTAGTATCAGCTTGGTGTCATCGATGTAAAAGAAAAGAAAACCTATCGCTTGTATATTTACTTGGCAGATAATTTCCTGTTTATACATTTAAGATAAGAGCGACTACTAATAAATATCATGAATACTTTATTCTATTACTCCCATTTAGTTTTATGTTTACTGATGGGTGCTGATATCAGCAAGATAGAAAATAATAATTCGAAAATGGTTCAAATTTAAACATTTAGATGTAGAAAGTTAACATGTGTTTATTTCTTTTTCAACAAAATCTGTTAGTCTTTGTAACGAACAAATTCTCGTTAAGAGTAAAGAGACATCATTCAGAAATTATTATCAACTCATAATATTTAAAGAGCCGATAGTAAACTATCCATAAAGGAATGGCTATAGTCTACAACAGCTGGATGGTTATAAGCAGTGATTGTTAGATATAAATGCTGTGAGAAATGTTACAGTTACTCAGCTATCAATAGCGTTAAAGCACTACTAGCAGATACCCAAAACACTGAGTACAAAATATTGAGGTGAAGTGTAGTACTAAAAAAATAAGCCAAGTTAGCCTTGAAACTGTCAAGACTAATATGCTCAGTCTGTGTGTTACATATTGCATATTATAATCTGTCGTTAAGCTTGATCATAACAATAAGAAGGACAAATAACATTTGAGAGATATAATACTAATAGGTTAAAAAGTCACTAAATATCAGTTTTGTTTATTCCCCCTTTATACATTGTAAAGAGCTGTAATTATTTTGTGAAGTAAAACACTTTGAATAAATTCTACGATATTGAAGTTATTCACATATAGTTGATATTGACAAATGACCCTGCTATTCTTAGGTTAATTGATTTTTACGTTTAACTCGAAATAAAAGTTTTAGTATTGATTGAAAACAGTCGAGCAATTTCGGTTTGTAATTAGACGTATCTAGGATTTTATCTACATGGAAGTCAACTACCCCGTAACATCCACTCAAACACTGAAAAACTAAGTACCAAAATGTATTAGCAGTAACTCCTTTTTAAGTATAGAAATGTAGAGGCTGTTGAATTTCATTAAAATCATGAAACAATCTAAGTTAGTCAATCGTTGAAAACTGGGAGCACTGGACGGTCGTTGTGTCCTAGTATGTGACTCAGCAGTGAGCATCCACAACACATGCGGAAATCGAATCCAAAACATTCGGTCTCGCGCGGACACTTAACTTCTGGACCACTGAGGATCCAATGATGTTAATGTCTAACGCCCTTACAGCTACGAAGTTGAATTATGTATGGATATGGATTCCTGAAGGGACGTGAAATTTCTTTTTAAAGAGTATTTAACAAAAAGACACAGAACTCAAGCCGAAGATTCTCACTAGTTGTTTGTAAACTTTTTATGCTTTAGTTTGTTTTAAATCTGAAAATAAACCAAATTCTTTTTAAAAAATTAAAAACGGAACTTTGAACAAATTCAGTCTACTTCTAAGTCAATTTCCTACTCATTTAAACTCATTATCAGTGAACAATTAGCGATTTCACATAAGTACATTCATCATATTAAACTTACCAAATGATTAATAGGAATATAAGTTGCCCGTATCACTCCGGTAAATGCATCCCACAGTCGAATAGGATTTCGGCGACTAGTACTAGCTAAACTTTAATCATGGTTTATATATTTTACAAAGAAATAATAATAATAATGTTAAACAAACGAAACCTAACATTCATCTTTATCAAATGAAAACAGATATAAAAATTAAAATAACAACAAAGGAAATCTTCATTTTTATGATAGAAAATTGACAAAACTGAGCAGTAGCTTAGTAATTAAGCGTCATCCAACTTTTAATCATAAAACCTCAAGTTCAAACCTCCTTCTATCTACTTTCATTTGAATAACTGAGTAGCATCGCTAGCCCTCAATATTTAAAGTGTGACTAGAAGTGAAGTATACAAATCTGTACCTAATAAATGAATTAATAACCATATCATATAACCAAGTAAATATCGTACGCTCTAAACAATTTTATTTATTATCCGTCAGATTAATTATTTTTTTTTTAAAGTGACCACGAATTTAAAGTGGAAATAAAAACAGAAAATGCCTAGTTAAATGAACGATTATATTTAATTTATGTGAACGTAACAAGTACATATGATTTCATATTTTTTATTACATTAATAAGTAAGTTATCTCACATATTAATTATGAATCAAATAACAGAAGGAAATTTATATGGTGAGTGCCAGTTAAACAATCCAAATAATTGGTTATAATACGTTATAAAATTTGTGTTCTTACGGTATTACTCATGAGTAACTGGTTTTTATCGTACAATTTTCTTTCTTGCATTTCATTAGTGAACCATAAACTAACAGTTCTATCAGTTAGTATATCTTTTCATCAGTCCACGATATTGAACTGCGTATTTTTGTTGTTGCATGTGCTGAGAGATAATAGCTGTTGCTGAGTTTGCCATTTTGAATTTAAATTCTCAACTAAGTTAACTATTATTTAATGCAAAGGCATTTATTTACATATATCTGTAAATAAATATTCCGAGAAGCTAAGACAGTCTTCTGACTTCCCAGTGAATCTGACAGTAGAACTATCTGTTCTCATACAAATCATATCCTGAATCACAGTTTAACAACCTTTTTGGACGACCTATTTTTGTTTACCGTACTATTTTACATCAACTTGAATGGAGAACTTTTACAATAGCCGATGTTTCTCACTGTTCTGTATCTTAGCCCGTCTTTGCAATGAAATCCAGTATCATAATATATGAAACCTCAATACTTCGTCAAGATAAGTAGAATTAAACCAGATAAACATGAAAGAAACATTAACTCATTTATCTAATATCTAAATCAAGTGATGTAAAACATCACTGGATATTTATTTGTACAAGAGAAAGTGACTGAGAGGTGATGAAAGCATAAATCCTGTTGAAGTAACAACTTTGGATGCCAAATCAATGTTAGCTGAACGAAATTACAACTAAAACTTCCTATAATTCATTTATGAAACAGATAAACGATATTAAGAATGATCGATAAAGCTTACCAACAACTAATTGGATCAGCAGAGCACATTAATGGATACCAACAGTAGTCGTAGATTAATTCTTTTTCACGCATCACGAGAACAGATCTCTGAAAACAATAACATCATTAAGTTTTTAACTGGATTGGTTTATACATCAAACCACACACACAACACCAGTCAGATTTGTTTCACTTTCACAGTAAAATTAGATCAATATATATTTTTAGTATTTGAACAATAAAAAAATGATTGCAACTGATTTCCAGTTCTGCAACATAAATCATTTGACCGTGTTTTTAGTATTTCGAGAAATTCACTAAAAAGCTGGTTCTCTACACATCTCATACTCAAAAACTCTTACCCTTGTTAGCAATATATATTAGGATAGGCAGTAGTTAAGCAAACCCCACACACATTATAAACGTTTCAATTAATGAAAATACACTACTCCAACAATGACTTATCTTTTTTTATCTACATCTTTACATCAGAACTTGAGATAGACGATCCAATCGTTATATCAACAGAACAGATGATTTAAGAAGAGTCGTAAATGAAAACCTGGACCCTTTTTATTTTGTCTATATTTAGTCTAATGTAGTTAAGTATCCCACACTAAGATAGATTGATGCGAAGTGCTAAACTTTATTCCTATTCATTGTAGATAACTATTATGGGACCACTTGGATGAAATAGTGTAAGACGACATGTAGATCACATTGTCAGGTGATTATACTAACCACAATATGTCTCTGTCAGTATCCCTAATATCGACTCTACTTGAGAAGTAGTGTAAATCATAATCAGTAATTAAGGCATGAAAAGTGGCAGTGAATATAGTACAATCCAACAATAATCAGGAAGTTTTGTGTACTATGCTATAAATGTAACTTAGTGTGTAAAAAAATACATAGTGAAGTCAGAATAGGCAAGGTAACAGATTTGAGATACCATTTGAACCAGTCATCATTATCAATGCTTTCGCTCATTTTCGATAAACAATCTTACGTTAAAATCGGACAATCATTTTTTGAGGCGAGAACATGTATACAAAGTCAGTAACAGTCAGGGTTTCTCGGCGCTGTTTTACCATTTTTGCACTGCACAAAAATTAGTTCATAATAAATAAGACTCTGTAAATAAACACAAATGCTTTATAAATGACTGGCAAATTTCCATTACCGAAAAATTGCAATTATAATCTTAGGATGAACAATATATACTTACGAACAGTAGCGTAAGTTATACATTTTACACTAATTACAATAGGTGTATACTATTTCTGTGACAATAAAATCAGTGAACTAAGATAAGTGAACGTCACGATTGAAAAAGGATGCAAATAGCAACCAGTATGAGCTTGGTTGTCGACAGTATTCATTCAGTATAAAAGCAGCTAATGCTGCTAACACCATGATACTATAGTTAAGTTAATTGCCAAAATCATTGAGTTTCAATAAGAACCAAAAAACAACAAAACGTTAATTACTTACTTTCTTAGATACATAATTTGAAAATTTAAGCGGCTAAACATCAAACCAAAATTAAGTGTATTAATAAACAATAAACGAATAAAACATACCATTTCTTCTGGTTCGGAAAAGGAGAGTTCTGCACTGCTATTTTCGAAAATTGAAGAAGGGAGATTGAAAAGACGAAGAATATTATCGTGACTGTTTGTCAAAATACAAGAACCGTCTGGAGACCTAAAGAAATTGTAATAATAAACAAATTCACATACTATTATTTACATAGTGGATCAGTAATAATGACAGACTGTTAATATATTGATAAGGTAGTAGGAAGTCGGTGAAAACGTTATGACTGCTTCGTGCTCCACACGTGTGCTCATATCAATACGCTCACTATCAGAATCAAATCTTTAGAAGTATGTTAGCTTTTGCAACGGGTGAGATAGATGGACTTTTAAATGTGGTTTCTAAAATCAAAGGACGTGTAAAATTAACTAATATTTGACCACATATTTATTTAAAACATGTTGGGACAGCCGTGTGAACAGTCCCAATTTAGTTGTAGTGTACAATAAAGATGGGAGAATCAATGTCTGAGACTGTGAATAGGTAGGATAGGACATGTGTTATATACAATCAGTCACTGCCTATCGAAAAGTTAGTTCGCGGGGGTAGGTTGGAGGAAATCTAGGGACCCCTAAACCAAAAACGTAGGATTATACCGCGAATTCAGTTAACGGTGTGAACCGTGTTGGTAGATGAAGACTATTTGGTTTGGAACAGCATAACGACAGTCATGGATGGTTGGAGATGTTAGGTAACTTGACCCAAAATTGATCGTAAGAGCGCACATGTACTCACCATCTGACCTACAGTCTTGATTTAAAACTTTATTTCCTACTATTTACGACCTTATTTCATACCTTTTAATCAAAGCGTACTCCCTATGTTCATAATTTGTAACATCACCGATAACCCTATTGTTAGGAGTCCTTTACTATTTACCTCATTGGTTTCGTTTGTGCTGATTTGATGCGACAACTTGTGTTGGTGCATATCTTTACCAAATCTTGGGTTCAGATTTTAATAATTGCGTCTTAATCTTTGAACCAAATACAAATCCCCAACCTACAGCTTGACTACCTTAGAAATATCCTTTGTTAAAAAATAATGACGTTAACCGCATATTCATTGTGGAAAACAATGTATGTTTTCTGAAAAAAATATTTTGTACGCATTTTAAATGTTGACAACCATCAGAAATATGTAAGTTTACACTAAACGTTACGTAATTCAACATTCAACAAACCCAAAACTTTTTGTAAATCAATGACCCAAGGTTGAGCCGTGATCTAAACAGTGGGAAAACGTTACTCTTCATTTGTGATAAGAATAACTTAGCAGAAAGAACCATCAAGAAAATGCATAAATGTATTAAAGTAGAATTAAAATTCAAACTAACACGATCATACGCAACTATTTATTAGAATATTTCATCAACATACTGAGTATACTTAATTAAAGATTACTACACTAGAATGAATAAGTCCAAACACAAAACAAACTATAACGAGAATAAACGTAAGGACATAGCTTTTAGCCATCCCACTACAATGAGTCATCAAAGCAAACTTGTTGCGACCACAGAAGTTCTTGTATTCTATTTAACGAGGAAATGTGATAAAGTTAAAACACCGTTGCGAGACAAAGAAGTTTTTAGATGAACCTTTCATGCTACTCAAAAACTAATCTTTGGACTTGAATGGGACATGAAGGTAGTACAGAGAATAACACTTCACACTGCATCGTCTGTAACTGTAGCATAAAATAGCACTGAATATTAAGTAACGTATAAACTCAATTTAATGCTACTGGAAATAAGTGATATTGTCAACTCATTTATTTCTGTATGTCTTCGGGATTCCCTGAATTTGATCATTTGGAATAACTTAAGGAAACACCACGTTTCCTTTTTTAGTCTTCGTTCAAACTAATTTGGTAAGTTCAAGAGAAACCAGTCGGAATAGCGGTAAAAAATTAGCGATTTCAGATAGTGAGGCTGAGTTATATGAATAGTCAACATTTTAATTAAACCCTTCTCAAAATTAACATATGAAGGAAAAATTAGAGTGTAGGCTATGACTGCAAAGATTACTCAATAACATATACACTCTAATTGTATAGGAAGTAATCTCAGCAATTTTGATGTAATATAAAACTTATTTTCACAAATAAAAAGAATTTTTTCTGACAATAAACTAGAATACTCAAAGAGTAGATCATTTTAAAAGTATTAAGGAGTTCAAGCATACCATAAACAACCTCGAAGGTAATTATTAAGTAAAGGCGATTTTTCCGACATTTGAAACTCAGAATCAGCATAGGCAATCACTTTTGGAGAATACATCCAGTTACTTTTTGACGTTCAAGAACCATAATATTTTCTGATTCATCAGCCTGTACATTGGTGCATTCATTTATTTCAAAATTATCCGGTTTATTTTCCAAATCACTCTGATTTGTCACGGTTTCGAAAAATAATTCTTTTTCTGATTCTGTACCAGTTTGAAAAGAGTTATTAACCTTGGCAAAGTTTTGTATAGCTAGTGAGTTTGTACAAAACTCAGACGACAATGAGCTAGAATCCTTTGGTGCAATGTTACTTACAACTGAAGCATCAGTGGGAACGTCGTAACCACCACCCTTTTCTGTAATATCCCCGATTGGTTCAGTGGACTTTAGTTTTGAAAACAAAGAATTAGTGCATTCAAAAGCTTCTTTCAAAGATAAACCATTATTTAATACGACAGTGTTTGCAGATTCACAGTTCGTATCATTTTTAGGGAGTTCTTTTATCATCATTTTATTTTCTACAGGTGAATTCATAATTTTTGTCCAGCGGAAAGAACTGAATTCAGACTAGATAGTTCAATGATGCTATAAAAGGAAAGAATCTTGCATGAGAATAATTCCCCTTCAAATAAACGTTAAATTTTATTTAAAATGTAAAACTCCTCAAGATAGTTGGTAGTTACTATATTCGAAACAATTTACAAGTGCTAGACAAAAACGTTGATTAATTAATAAAATAGTTTTGTCAGTCAAGTTTAGTACTGAATGAAACACCGCAAGAGCAACTTTTGTCAACTTGTGGATTGTTAACAACACAAAAACCAGATCGAATCAACTCATCTTCATAGTCGATTGTTGAACCCTTGATAAATTCGAGCGAGACATCATCAACAACTACAACGACGCCATCTTGTTTGACCACTCTTAAATCCAATCAGATAATCCTTTTGGAATTATAAAACATACTTGTCGGTTTCTTGAATTTTATCCACAAGTTGAAATTTATACTGGAATCCTGAACAGCCTCCACTATCCACTAAGATTCTCATAAGTGATCCCTTTGCTTCGATTTGCTTTAGTCGCTGACGACAGAATGGTGAGTAAATAAATAAACATTTGGACTGTTACCTACCTGTATAGAACTTTCAGTTAAAAATAAAAGATGCTTCGTAGAACACTTGCGGACTGGAAGCGGTAGCTGGCAGAAAAGCTTCCGTGATAAGGTTTGTAAACTCTTCTGTATTGAAGGTTGCATGAGTTAGCTTACTGACTACGATAAAATTTACTCGGACGCATAAATGTATCGACTAGTTTCAATGACAAAAGTCAAACAAATAGGCCGACGCTGGCAATATTTTCATAAAATCTGTTTCACAAAACGAATAGACATTGTCATTCATACAATAGAAGCATTCAAATAAACAACTGGTAAAGGAAATATTTCTTGTATTGTTTGCGAAAACCCACTTGTTTATTATGCCCTGTCTGACTACAGGGAGAGAGCATTTAAAAGATTTTAGAACGAAGCAACTGACGTAAATAAAAAGCTTAAATTCAAATGCAAAAATGTCATAACTATAATGAGAGTTGACTATACTTATCTTAAAAAGACAGCTTTGATGTGGACACACAACCCACTGCTTAGTGTCTGAGTTGCATTATTAAGCAAACTAGTAGTAGCTTTATCTAAAATAGAATAGACGAGAAATTAGAAACAACTCATATTTCGGCAGTCTAAATTAACATTAGTGAGTACAACTAGCATCATGAAGCAGTGACAGGAATTAGACAGACCGTATGTCTCTTGAGGAATGTGAGTTGAAAAGTGAGGTTTTTTTAATTTATATAACACCTGGGTCTCACTACACATCAGAACATATGAGTTAACTGTCAGCTGAGGTAAATTGCCCATATACAAATCAGCTTTGAATTGGTCGTAGTATTAAGCAAGTTTTTTCTACACGATAAAAGTTTATGATTCTTGATGACAACCAATACAACTTTTGGAATAGTTTGATTAATGGTTTAAGCCAACTATGATTTATGTTATTTACGAGACTCAGAAAATATTACCCAGAAACCAAAGAGCAATCCAAAAGCTGATCGTGTTAGAATAGGTTTCCTTCTTTTGAAATGGTCGATAACTAACAAGGAATAGTTATTTACCAAATAACACGATCATAACAACATTCGGCAATGTATTTCCAGGAGTACAGATACACACTATATGACCAAGCCAGATATATATGTGCTTTTTACACTATCAAGAAGGCTTCATGTTACTAATTACAGGATTATAACTTGTTGCTAAGCGAAGGCTTGTGTAACCACATGTACATCTGTTTGCTACGTAGCGAAGTTGTGTTCATAATTAGTTATTGGACAGCTTAAACTAATTTCATAGCACCACGTCAGTGCTTGCCTTGAGAAATTCCTCAAGAATTGTGATTCGTAAACCGAAACAGAGAAACTGATGGATCTACAGTATGCAGAAAAACCAGCCGGATTCAGATGGGGCCTCTTAATTTTCATGTCAAATGTATCCATATCTGTGCTTACTAAGCATTTCTGCATTGTGAACGATGTCAACTCATGATGATAACCAGACCCTATTTATTATCCGGATTCCTAACCCTAACCCTAATCCTTAAACCCAACTAGCAAAACTAATAAAAAATGCAGCTCAACAAGGTCACTTTTGAAATGACTGAAGGTCGTGTCTGTCGTACAAGTACAGTCTTCAGTAATAAGGATAGTAGGTTGGTTAACCTGTGTTAATTCCGACGTATTGCCTTCCAGTGAAGATTCAGATTCTCCTGGAAAATATTCACTGATAGGGCTGATACCACTTGTTCAGGTAAGGCGTTCCAGCCATTTACTACTCGTTGAGAAAAACGGGACCCCATTTTAAGTTTATTATTATATCACGGTTTGTGAACCTTCTTGCTATGACCTCGAAGATTATTAGTGTTGTAGGGAGCAAACGGAAAAGGCACATTAGCACCCGAATCATAATTAAAGATACGAAATACAAGTTTAAGGTCACCTCGCGTCCTACGACACGTCAAGGGGAAAATGTTTAGGCGTTTTATGCGCTCATCGTAGGGAACTTTAGAAAGGCAACCCACTAATTTTGCTTTCGCACGCTGACCACGTTAGGTGAGTTAGTATTTTTTATCAGACATGCTCTAGCTGCTTGGATACAGTACTCTAAATGTGGTCATACATAGGTGGGATATAAAATTAGAGACATGTCCTCGTCAAAGCATTGAATGCTCGGCGAAGTGACCATAACGCACGATTACCTTTGGCAGTGACTGCGTTGCAATAAGCAGTTGTTTTCAAGTCATGATTTATTGTTACTCCTAAGTCTTCATGTTCTTGAACGCATGGAAGAGATGTGACATCAATAGTACAATGGTTACTAATACCGTGTCTGATGTACATTGGCACATTCTTCCTAGAATTAACTTCAAAGTCCCAACCTCAAGCCCATATAACTAAATCGTCCAAGTTAGCTTGGAGATCGAACTGATCAGCCTCAATTCTTATTGTTCTCCGGATTTTTACATCCGCAAACAATAATATCAACAACTTAAGCAACAGTTGTAATTCATTGACGTAGAGAAGGAGAAGTAGAATGCCTAAAATGGCGCCCTGGGGCACACCACTTCTGACTCGCTTCCATTCGGGTGGCGTTCTACTGACCCTCACTCTCTGTCTGGGGTGAAATATGAAGCTTCCTATCCATCCCTATACAACAGATGTTAATCCGAAGCTCTAGAGCTTCTGTATAAGACCTGATTGTGAAACCTTGTCAAATGCTTTGCAAAAATCTATGGATTTCACATCGACAAACAGACCGTTATCTAAGGCTGCTGCCCACACCTCTCTCGCAGTAGGTATGTAAGTCAAGCATGAACGCTTGTTACGAAACCCGTGTTGCTCGGGAGTTAACAGATTGTTTGAATCTATATGATTTAGAAACTTAACCCGCATTATCTTTTCAACTGACTTAACGACTATGCTGGTTAGACTGACAGGCTGATAGTTAGATACAATCTGCCTCTGACCATCCGTAATTATAAAACTGACTATAGCGTCTTTCCAACCTCTAGGGAGTTGGGCGGGTGGAAGTGACATATTGAAGAGCGTCGCGAGCGGTCGTGAAATAATATCCGAAGAAGTGCCACTAGTCGTGGATGTAACCCGTCAGGGCCCTGTATCTTACAAGGTCAGAGGTTAGTCATCGATGGAAGAACAGTTTCCTCAGTCACGTGTAGAGATCCTATGGCTCGTATCTCGGTGTGCTTTGAACAAGTATTTGTAGCAATGCACGTAGAGCATACTTCGCTAAGTCTGAATTTTCGTGTAACAGTAACGGGGAATACCATTACTACGTTTTGTTCACCGTTTAACACGCGAAAACAATCGTTTCAGAGAAGTACGGCTATCATATGCCAACTGTCGTTCGTAAATAGTACGGGATATGGTATTTTTACGTAGATTACGGATATTTTATATTCACACTTAAACAACGCGTGTCCTGTCGATAAGCATAATTCCCAGAAGTGCTTCCTGAGCTTCAACTGCTTCCGGGTTTCCTTATTAGTTCATGGAGAACAATGTGGTAGCTTACGTGTTGACCATGGGATAAACGGTGATGTTACGAACCGGAATGTAGTCTTAAACTTATTCTATTCGTCTTTGAGCAATCCAACTGCATCGACCGACCAGTCAGTCAAGATAGCAAAGTCTCGGCTTATCGAAATATTAGTTCGCCGAATATGTGGACCGAGTGGAGCAGATACAAATTGCATACTGCGTGTCTCAAACTTAAAGTAAAGTACAACGTATCGGATACATTGGACTCCAAGACTTGACTACCCGAAAACCCTCAATAGTAAGGCTCGTTTCGCCATTTACCTTTCGAGTTCTTAATTCCGTAAGGCATTCTTCCACTTGATTTGACCCTCAAGCGGCCAATCTGGTCAGATACGAATGTTTCAGCCACGAGTTTTGTGTGCGTTATTCAATATTATGTTCTTTCTTCAAAAGTCCCGAGTACCATCTTCAAGATCCTTTTTAGTTGGGTCTCGCCTCTAACCTACTTACCGAGTCGTATTACTTCCGTGATATGTACCCCGGAGACCTCTTCAGGTAGTACATTTCTGATTGCAGATTCCACTGACTGCAGATTGTGTACGTGTCTTTTAGCAGGGTCGTTGTCTTCCGATTACTCTAGACTCCAAAAATTTAAGCTTGGAAGGGGTTTAACTTCTTTGAAAGTCGTGCTTACGGCTTTCGGCCGTGACGTCAGATAACAAAACAGCTGCAACATAAATAATAAATTCTTGAATGCAAACTGTTATGGTTTTCATTAGTGACTCATACTTTGCACATATATGTTTCTATGTTCCACCAGCTCATTTTCTATATAGGTTTAAAAGCATAAACTGAGTTAAGGTAAATTCAAATTTATAGTGATCCACCACAATGCGCTTGTTACTCACTTTTTATCACAGTCAACAAGATCCCGAATTAGTAGTTATTCTGTATCTGCGGTAATGGTGTAGAACTATGGTAACTATGATATTAGTACTGCTCTAATAATAGACCTAATCCTAAATTTGCAGATTTGTCATGATATAACTGCCTAAACTATAAGATCTTACGTGGAAGTCACACCATCGACTACACCAACTCACTGTATCATATCAATTACCAATACATGATGTAGAACAAGGTTAGGCTAGAGGAAGAACAGTATATTTAATATGAATAGAAGATATAAGGTAACATTCAGCAGAGACCACGCCTGCATGGCCGAGCCATGCCACTCGATCAACTCCAGTCCATTCAATTCATTGTTCGCGCCTTCTCCATTGTTAGGTATTTCTCCGCGTTAAATATTGAATATCTATTTTCTGAGTAGTCTCGTGTTCACAGCTTTGTGGATTGTGTGACTATTGTCCAATGCCACTACAATGGTAAATAAACCTTAAGCTGAATACCTAGGCCATCCAGAACTAGGAAAAGCAAAAACATGGTGTTAATCAGTTCTCCGGTAGATCACCGTTAGATTATTCTAACGAATCTAACTCTGAATAACTACTAAATATGGTAGATCACGTTGACGAGCGTCGACTTCTACTTGCTGATTAGTATAGTTGATGAGATTAAGTGATGGATTTTTGTTAAACATTTTGTACGTTTCTTAGATACGACTTTGAGCAATTCTAGCCACTGTCGAGT